AGTCCCAATCAGATGATATGTTGAAAAGGAGAAAAAAAAGTCCTCCTTGCCCAGAGAACTGTGTGAGTTTTCTTCCTTTCTTACTATGTACTGTATTCTGTTGTCCTTCCAGCTGAGATCTTTCTTCCATAATATATTACAGCTGCTAATTGCATGGCTGTATTCTGAAAGCTGCTTGCCTTAAAGAACCATTCCTTATTGCCCCACATAAGTGTTTACTGAATGCATTTGGTATATTTGTAAGTATCTGAATGTAGTATTTTTGACTTCAGATGACCAAGTTACACTCTGTCACTGAATAAAGGCTTTTGTGGCCAGTCCATGTTACAATCAGTTATGGTTGAACCGTACTGTAATTGCAACTAGCTAATATTATTTAAGAGGAACACTTCAGACTGTGTTCCTTGTGTGCTGTTAACCACAGTAGGCTTGCTGTTATTTTGCTTGGTTTTAATTTTCAGGTATGTTCTACAGGCATTCACACACAGACAGGAAGGGAGGTGTATGAAGTTCCTTTTACTGTCTACTACTTTTTCCATAGTGAAACAATGGCTCTTGGCCTTTTAACCAGAAGAAATTTCTTTTAATAATTTATTAAAAAAAAAAAAAATCTAGCAAGGCTTCTTGAGATATTTGGGGAAACGCTGGGGATGAAGAGTACCAAAAGAATCTGTTACTGAAAACCAGATTTGTTTGTTTGCTTTGGCTTTTTTTCAGTTATTTCAGAAGCTTTAAAGTTATTTTAATGGTTATCTAAAGATACCTTAGCTTTGCCTAAAGAGCAACCCTAGCCTAGAGGAGTTTGAAATAGTGCTGGGAAATCCAAGTTGGCCCTTGCAGCAAACATAACCTTTTAGCTACTAGGAATGCATCACCCTGTGAGCATTACTGTGCTTGTGTGATTGTCCTTGCTGCAGACATCCCTGTCTCTGCTTCAGTCTGATCTCCTGCCCCAAGCCTGTCTCTGCAGCTTGCACTTCTGTGAAAGCAGAGTGCCAGTACTCCCAGCCTTCTGAGGAGGCAGAGGTGTATAGGCTCTGTTAAAGGGTATCTTTGCCCCACCCCATCAAAACGCTGGAAGCTAGGAGTTTGGTGTTACATTTGAACACCAGTTGCTCCTTTCATGACTTCCTATCTAGATTTTTTGCTTTATTTTAATCAGTTGCAGCTTATGGGACTGCAGGACTGAGACAATGAAGTCAAGTAGACAGCTTGTTAGATAAGAAGTTCAGGAACATGAACTCTCAGAACTGATCATAGAATGGCATCGGTCCCATAGGTGACAACCATAACAGTTGAAGGGAACTTGCCAAAGGGTGAGAGTACTTGAAGCTTGAGAAGAGATTAGTTTTAAAATATATACTGGTTAAGCTTGCTGGCTTTGATCTCTTGAAGCAGTGTATGAACAGTGGCTTCTGACTTGGTCACACAGATGAAGCCACTTCCCTGCAAGAGCAAGCTGGTCTCTCCCATCAGTGTTGTTGCCCATTGCCTGCTGGAGGAAAAAAAGAGGATTGTTTCTGTGGGGACAGTGCAACCTTATATTGTGTTAAAATACATATGAAGCTGCACTGTTAGAATATACTTATATATTGCAGCTAATTGATCTGACAGCTGGGTACCTGTGTAAGTGGTGGTCACTGTTGCCTTGCCTGTCACTGGTGCTGGGCTCCTGCCTCCTTTATACTGGTGCTGCAGAAGGCCAGTTCAGAGAGTTCAACAGGCAGCTCAAAATGGGGTAACTTCCAGTGCCCCAAGACAATGCACCAAGGGAAAAGAGGGAAGGAGTGAATCTCCTCTTTTGGCCATTAGATTAGCTGTAGTAAGAAAACTGCCCATCAGGGTGGACTTTCATGGGCAGCTGGCTGCTCTAAGGTTGTTCTCCCATTGAAACAAATGGTTTTGCTGTTCCTACCCAATTTCAGCCAGAGCTGTGAGCTGGATTCGATTCCTGTTTGAAATAAAGCTCAACAGTGGCCGTGCCATGTCCACCAACACCCATCCCCTCAAAGTGGAGACCCAACACTGCAAACAGAGCATGACACAATCTGCGGATTTTGAAACTTACTCAGCATGTTATAATGCTCCTGTAATCTCTACTGTAGAACTGCTGTACTTGCAGAGAAACCCAGTCGAAATGAGCAAGCTGATTTGCTCCATCACTGGCTTGAGTGGATGGAGTCACATCTTTTGGCACCAACAGGTAGTTTGATCAGTTTGTGCTGACTGAAAAACAGAGAAGTTAGATGGAAACTGAAAAAGAGATTTTCCATTTATTTAGCGTTATTCAATGTACACAGCATTTCTTAGCATCTCTGCACAGTGCTAGAGCTGTAATGATGTACTTTACCTCTTTGAAGCAAAAATGAAGTTTAGAATTTTTTTATTTACCAGAGTTTTAGTACATTTTAATTAAACTTTATTAGGATAGTGTGACTTTCAAACTAATTAAAACACTGCTGTTTGTCTTGTTTCCAAAAATACTTTGTTTTTAATACAGCAATCACTTAGCTAGGAGAAGGAATAATTAAAGTTATTCTCAAGTTGCACAATTTAGTTTATTTAAAAATGCTTTATATAGTTTTTAGATGAAGTTATAAATGTTCACTTTGGAACTACCTGAAGATTAATAGTGATGCATTTGAAATGCATTATTTTTTTATTGATTCTTAATGTAGTAAATTACTGAAGTTATTTGGCAGCAAACAGAAATAGCCAGTGATGTTGTTCACATTTATTTTCCTGATAGCATCACAATTTGCATTAATTGCATTGCAGCTGCACTCACTTATATTAAAAAGCTTCTACTATAATTAATCCTTTTTATTTCAAATCATTTTGGCACAATTTCTAGCAATAAACACTCATAAAAGACAGACACTTGAAAAATAACATACAAGTTTCTTCAATATACCTATTGCTGTTTTTTCCTGACAAGGAATTATTGATAGGCTTCTAGGATCAAGTGTTGCAAGTGGCTAAGACTTAAGAACAGTTTGAAAAATGCTAAGTGGATTATTTTGCATAAAAAATAGACAGGTTTTGAATTTGTGTAATTAACCTGTGTTTAGAAAATACCTTGATTTATGTCTACATTTGTATTTCAGTTGCATACATTATGGAAATTTAATTTATAATCCATTTAGCTGATGTGATCATAGTTTTTAGTGCTATCATTTATTAGTCCTTGTATATTAAATGCTCTAAAGGCTTAAACCTGCCTTGTGTAAAAAATTACACCTCTACATTTACATTTTATGAGTCATAGATGGAATTCTATTTTAAATTCGGGTAGCTTTGATATATTTAAGGAATTACAATGGCTTTATTGTTACTAATGCAGGAACGGCAAACACTGACCTTACACATTGCAAATTAATGATTTATCCCTCTAGTTTGCTTTTAAAGTCAACTATACAAATGAGGATTTCGACTTCTACACCTTGAATAAATCATACAGCTCTAAATATAATGCACCCTTTGGCTTTGAACTCGTTATTCTCGATTCTTTCTGCAAGGTCTAACTTGCCTTATAGAAATGTTCTTTGAAAATTTAAGGAATTGTGTATGTTTTCCTTCAGGGCTTTGTTTGGAATATCATTGAGCGATTGCAGCTACATTTCTTCTTTCTTTCCTTTTTTTTTTTTTTGCTCATTGTGGTTCCTTTTCTAAACTTGCAGCAGATTATGGAGGAATTAAGTAATGCTAAAACACTGCTATTAAAGAGTAAAAGAAGAACAAGCAATGATGTTACACTGGTGATGTCTTTTCTGTTCAGCCTGGCAGAGATATTAATGATACTGTAAGGATTTGGTTGTCATTGTTTGAGATGCTGATGTGGCAAACGGGACAATGGGAAAGGCTATGCACACACAGAGTGTTTCAGGAATGGCTTTTTTAAAACAACATTCTTTTATTTTTCTTTCATCCATGTAGGCTTTCTCTAAAGCATGATAACATGCTTTCGCTTCCCAGCTATGAAGTTTCTAGCGCCCTATTTTGAAAGATACCATAAGTACTTTTTCCTTTCAATCAACAAGAGGTTGTTACCTCAGTAACTGAAAAATAGGCAAAGTTGCTTTGCATTCCATCAAAATATGGTCATGCAGTAGATCTGAGTCATGCTGAGAGTGCTGTTGCTGGAGTTCCGTGCATTTTTGAAAATCCTGAAGGAAACAGTTTACAGTAAAAATACATTTTTCATGAGTGCTGCATAGAATCATAGAATGTATTGAGTTGGAAGGGACCTGCAAAGGTCATCTAGTCTAACCCCCCTGCAATAAGCATGGTCAGGCTCATTTTTGGTTCAGTAACTTCTAACAGGTGTAACAGTGCCAGGCCTAGGGAGGATTGGACGTGTGATACGGTTGTAACTGGCAAGCTATTGGCTTGGGAGTTGGGATGGTTTGGTGATGTCATTAGGCAGTAGAATTCACCAAAACCAAGCAGTGATGAATCTGTATGACATGCAAGAGAGAGTTTATTAGGATTAGTTTAAAATGCATTGGTTTCACATAGTTATTTTTAAGAGGCACACTGCTGTACATGTAGCAATGGGCATGAAGGGAAAAATCCTGCTTGTGCCGATGCTAAGAGAAGTAGCAATGCGAACATTGGGAAGGCAGTTGTGATGCAGTTGCATGGTCTTTAGCAAACTTTGCTTTTCTTACCAGTCAATGCAATTGATATGCTCCTTGTTTGCTATCATACTTCAGACAAGAAGATTAATGATAAGCAGCGATCTTAGCTTGTAGATCACCTCATAATTAATTTGCAAGATGCGGGAGCTTGGTATTTCACAGGAGTATTCAAATTTCAAACTTCAGATAAATATTTTTGAATCATGCAATGTCTGGGCTATTGTCATACCAGAAGACCTATCAAGGCACCAAGTTAAGAAGGAATTACCACAGTGTGGAGAAACAGACACTAGCCTTGTGAATTCCTGTATGTACAACAGTAAACTGTGCTAATGTGCTTGTAATTGCTCTGTTTTTCAGGCTCTTTATGAAAATATGCTCGTGGAGCTGCCATTTGCCAGTTTTTTCCTCTCAAAATTACTGGGGACAAGTGCTGATGTTGATATTCATCATTTAGCTTCATTAGATCCAGAAATGTACAAAAATTTGCTTTTTCTCAAGAGCTATGAAGGAGATGTGGAAGAGCTTGGACTAAACTTCACTGTGGTAAATAATGACCTTGGGGAAGCACAGGTAAGAATGGCTTTTGGTGTTTATTTGTTGTGTGCTGCATGACTGATGAACTGTTACTACCCCTATTAATTCTTTTTTTAATCTAAAAGTGATAGTAAAAAACTGTCAAAGGTGCTGTGTGTTGTGAGGCATCATACAGGTTCTCGCTCAGTATTTGGTGTAGACAATAACTAATCATGTGCTTAAATAACTTTTAATGATGACTTAAAGGTTTGATCTTTTAAGTAGTAAACGATAATTATTATTTTCTAACAGTCATACATGAAAAGTTCTATTGCCCAAGATTATTTCTTGAACAAAATATTTTGCGTTGTTTCTTTGATTGCACTACAAATAATTGCAGAAGTTAGATGATATGTAAAGTATAGAAGTACTGCCTGGTTTTAGAATCAGAGTTAGAAATCAGAATTATTTTAAATAATGACTCTTTATTGTGAGATAAGTGTTGTCTCCTTTAGCTGTAATTTTCAAAGTAGAGAGCCTGAAGTTAGGCCTCTCATTTTAATTTTTAAAAATTATTATTATTTCTGTTAGGGGCCGAGATATCAGTTGAGTCAGGGGAGACAACTGGGTATCAAGTGCTTCTAAACAGCAGTTAGTTACGGCCAGTTACTTAGGTCCCTAAGTATGAGTTTTCAACACAATTGTACTATATAATTTGATTATGGCTTTTATTTGCTCTGTTGCGAGTACTAAAAATCACTCATGCTCATAGTAGAAAATAAATGTCACTAGAGGTTGAGAAGTGTGCCTCAATATGCTGATACAGTTAACCTCCTTACAGTCTTTTGTCAAGCTTCCTCTTTCATGTCTGTGGATTTATAACTATGGTCTACTTATACTTGATAATGGTATTTAATAATTGCATAAAAAAAATAGACCTGACCACGCTGTGACATGAAGCAGCATCTGAACTCAGTCTTGCTTTTTGTGGAATAAGCAGGCTGTGAAAGGGGTTAAGCAGTTCTCCTGGGTTGGGTCCCTGTTTGGCAGGGAAGCTTGAGACTGTGGACAACTCAGAGGAGCAGCCACGCCACTGTTGTGCAGCAGCTAGTCCTGGGAACTGTTAGGTCAAGTACATTACTGCTGCTTAAATCACAGCAAATTTTGTGTCCAAGACTTCTGCTTTAAGATCATCAGGCTTGGACTTTATCATTACTCTTCTGTCATCCATTTCCTGTCATTTTGGAAGATCCTAAAACCTGGATTGCCTTACAAATTGAAAATTGTGTCCTCGGATTTGGGGTTCCTGAATCATACTGAAGAAGAGAGTCAACAGTTGCCTGCTAGAAGTAATGTTTCTTATTAACTACATGCTATATGTCAGTTTTCCCTTGGGTTACACTTCCTGTATGAAAACTTCTGAGCTGCACTGTCTTTAGAAAACACTCAAACTTCAAATGAAGCACGTGATTTAGATGTATCAAAAGTCACATTCTTGGAGCATCTACTGTATTGCACAGCACTGTACAGCAGTGCTGCTCTGTTGTAGCATGTGCTGTAGGTGCCTAATTCTGAACTGAGTTCTGTAGTTTTCATGTACTTTGTTATTGGGTTGCACAGCACACAGGATGGCAGTTTCCAATACAGCCTGGGGTTTTCAAGGGGAAAAAACAAGTCTATTGTTAGTGTTCTGAAGTCATTCATTTGAAGCAGTCGTTTTGCTGATCACAGCTAATATAAATCCAGTTTAGGCTCTAATTAAAAATGAAAAGTAGCTAATGCTTTCTGGAGAGCTTTTGGTTTCTATACTTCTAATCTGGACGCCCTCAAAAATAATGAGCCACCCAAGTTAGAACCTACCTTATCAAGTAAAGTGGAAGGACACAGAAAAGAGAAATAGATCAGAAATAACATAAGAAGAGATCCAAGTTAGAGGTGTTGCCACCTCTACCTACCGCAGCAAAACTTGTAAAATGTATATTCTTGCCAAGAAGCCTAATTTAAGTTTTCTGAGGGCTATGGCTAACCTGATTTCTTCAGCATAACCTTAAGAGGAAGATTAAATATAACAGTTAGTTTCTGAGTAACTAAATGAAACATAAATTAAATATTGTGGTGCTGTTCTGCTCTATTTGTACTTGGAGAGAGAACACTATACCTGTGAAGTAATAGCCATCTTTTAATTAAACTACATGTTAGTGTAGTTCAACAGAACTAATTGGTTCTTGTCACCATCTTGTGTTCTAATGCAATAAGTTACTTTTTATACTTCATTTCATTACCTTAATAAACCTCCTATGGATAAATACATTTTGTCTGGTATCTGACTCATGTATCCATGGCATACTAATTAATTGTGTCGAGGTAAGGCTAATTCACTTTGGGAAAAGAGCTTAATTTGCACTCCTTACGCTGTATGTACATTAGCTCTAGTTTTCAGCTAAACAACCACTTTAGTGTCTAATAAATTAGTGCCCAATAAATGCATCATAAATCTATTGCTGTAAATAGCTGTCTCCATGACAGCGTCCATCCAGCAGTTGTGGCACAGGAGCATTATCTGCAATGAAAGACACATTGGAAAGGAGCTCTATTGCCTCTGTCAGAAGTAGAAGGTAGAAATTCTATTATCAGTGTATTGATTCCAATCCTGTAATGTGCTTTTAGATCCCATTAAACTATTGTCAAAGTGCATTCACCAGAAGTTGAAAAAGGTACTTAATAATTTGCACATTAGACCTGCTAATTAGGGGAGCTCTGCCATCAACCTTATCTTCCAACCCCAAACAGCTTTAGCTTTTGATAAAGAACTAATGCAGTGGTACTAACCTAGATTTTAGCTGTTTGATCTGCTGCATAAAATGGTGGCCAGTAAAAAAGTCTCATAAGAATGTCAGCTTATAGTTAGAGGTGCCTTCAAGGAGGTGTGTGTATTGATTATATTTTTCCTTTTACCTTGTAGATTAGATGGTGATGAAATGGTCATAAAATGCTTAGAGTAAGTGTTAGTTTAACAAATTCAAGAAAATACCTCCTCTTTTCAGACTTTCCTTCCCCTTCTCTCCCAGTTAGGAAGGTGAGCTTTGTGGCTGTCCAAGAGGAAAGAGAAAGATTCAAATCTGTATTCCTCTTCCTTCAAAACTGTTAGATTCTCTGCTCCAGCAAGTCCTCTCAAATGCTGATTGTTGAGAAGGCATGGGTTGGAACAGTTGAGTATGACGAGGAGACGCCGTAATCAGAAGACTCCATAAATAAAGCGTAGAAGCACAAATCCACAGAAGAGCTCTATAATGTATATGGCAGCAGTTTCTGTGAAATCCACATAGGATAGAAGTTGGTGTTGGGACACTTTCTTTGGCTTTTTAAACAGATGTGAAAGCTGTTGCTATTACTGAAAATATGTTGACTCACTAAAGGACAGTTCTTGGACTATAAATTTCCTTGAGAGAAGATTTTGAAGCCTTAAAAATAATTGAAAGTTTCTGTCTTGGCAACTTCTTTACTAGGATATAGTGGCTTAGACGAATGATTGTGGAGGGTTTTCAGAAGCAAAATATTTAAGTTGAGGCTGATCCTTCTCAGGCAGATTTATAATACTTACAGCAAATGCATTCTTAGGCATTGGAATGTAATCTCCTACCTGGAACTCCTGCCTGAACATCTGGAAGGCAGATGACAGGGAGAGAAAGAAAACTTATCAACTTACTTTCAGAATGAGGAAAATCTTTAGGGGTGATGTGAACAAAAGTGATCAGAGCCCACAAGGAAAGATAAAATATTTTCATCTATCCTAAACCCAAGTTTATAAGTGTTCTTGATTATAATCGTGCTTTTGGAAACTTCACTGGAGATACAGTGAAGATCTGCATACACAAAAAAAGAATATGTAGATGTCAGGTCCCTTATTCTTTACTAAAAGATTTCCCACTTTAATCTCTCAATATTCCCTCTTTTCTCCATTAGCTTGGGAAGCAGCTGCCACTGCCCAATCTGTGTGAGCAGCAGCTAGCAGTAAGCTTGTCTGCCGACAGAGACTTGCCATTTTCTGCCTGTAATCACATTTCATATCGACTTTGTGTGATAAATTATCAACAAGCCAGAAGATAAATATCCTCAATTCTGCTTGACAAATATTGTTAATCACTGTTGTCCTGATTTTTGGTGTGTATTTATTTCATTATTATGCTAATGTTCAAAACAGTAGATGTAGCTCAAAGTGATTGTCTGAACTGTTCGCATGAACTCCAACCATACAAAAAATAGATTTGCTTTTTTTCAAACAATCTGTATTTTCTTTAAAATAAGAATATAAATGTAAGTTGATGGCATTTTTTCAATACGTCCCTGCAGAAACAGAATTGAATTTATAGCCACAAAAACCCTAAGTACCTGCAACCATAGTTCCAAGTGTATCAAACCTTCAGTCAGAAGCCTACTACAACTCTTCTGTCCACAGTACTAATAAATGCAAAGTGCCTTTTTGTACAGATTTTTAACATTACGGGACTTTTCTATCCCCACTTTGCTATTTCCCCTTCATTTCAAAGGCATAGTTTGAGTATGAAATCAAATCCAGTTATCTGTGGTTTTGTCTGGGCATAGTATTTATGATTTCATAGCTTTTAAAGTATACCGTTGTGATAATGAAACAAGTTAATTTTTTTTTTTTTGGTAGTTTTTGATCTGCAAAATAGAAAATGAAGTGCTGCCACAAGTCTGAACGTTTTGGGTAGTTTTCTATTCCCGCCCATCCTGTGTAGCCTGTGTTGTGATCTCGCACCATCTAGTGGTGAAAACTGGATGGATAAAAACCAAGCTGATAAACCTTTTTAAGATGTAATAAATTGTGTTGTGGCCTTTTTTGAAAAGGAACTCTTCAACAATCATTCCTGACATTTAGAATTGGGTGGGACTTGTATAATACTTCCTTTAAAAAATTGTGTAAACCCTGAATGAGTAAAAAGTTAACTGTATTGACAGTTTCTGTAGTTTACTGCTACCAAGAGTTACTATATTGTGTCTTCTGTTTTACAGCCTTCTTAACTTTTATGGCATAATA